TTGGCATAATAACTAGTTACCGTGCTCGTTACCACAATAATAACGTAGTTACTGTAACGCGTTACTTAATAACGCGTTAGTCCCAACACTGGAAATGACTGAGAGTGAACCTTTACTTTCTTCTTGTCTACACGAAGCTACACGACCAGAGTTCTTGCAGCATTAGACCTGGAGGAGGATAAATCCTTTATGATACTGGAGGTACTGAGAGTGATTTAACAGGAAGAAATATAAAAACAAATATCCTCTCATTCAGATGTTGTGCTCAGCAGAGGCCTGCAGAGATCACGACAGAAGCAAAGAAGGATATAATGTGATGTTCGAGTGAGCAGGAGGCTGGTGTGGACAAAACTGGGCTTCAAACTGTCACGGTCCTGGGTCAGTGACCCAGTGTTTTGTGTTATTGTTAATCTTTGATTTCATCATGATTTATCACTGCTAGTTTGTTGGTTTCCGTTTCAGTATTTATAGCTCCCTCAGTTCTTTAGGATTTGTACAGCTGACAATAAAGGCTCATTTTTTGTTATCATTCCACCCTTATTTCCATTTGCCTGCACTTGGGTCCCCAGTCTCCCCACGCCTCACCGTCTGCCTCGCCAGATGTGACACAAACATCAATCCCTGACAATCCCTGAAACTTTCAGCAAACGATTATGTTTTACTCATTTGGTGTCTACATCAAACCAAATCATTCCCATAGCACAATTTTCTGTTTTCTCCGCAGTATACGCCTACAGGTCACGCGTGTGGAGGGGCGGCTGATAACACGTTACATTTGGACTTTTTTAAAACTTTTGAATAAAGTCTATTCAGCAGCACAACTCAAATCTCACACTGTGTCCTCCCATTAAAATATGACCACGCCATCCCTGACACCATGTCATGCCGGCAGGCACTGAGTTTGACAGTTAATTATTGGCTCATATTGTCAGTGACAGTGCCAAAATAATAATATGTTTTCTGTTGTCTTGCTGTCAAATAAATGAGTCCAAAAACGAGCAGATGTTAAATAAATTGCGTTTGTTTGAGTTCACTGAAGGTGGTTCTGATCCTGGCGTCTCTCTCTTTAGTTTGGATCACTGCCTTTTTGGATGATCAGACACATCCATCTGTAACTGGGAGGGAAACTCCTCACTGACTTCACTGTTTGTTTGAACACTCGTGAAGGTGAAAATCGGACTTTAAAAACAGCCTTTGTGCTTCGAGTACTCCGAGATTTCTGTTTTCTTCTGGTGTAAAATAGCAGGGAGCCAAAGGATGTCCTTTAAAGGTTACACTGGTGTTACTCGATATTTTCTCTTTAAACAATACAACACGAGTAGAAAAACCCCCAACATTATTTCAGCTTGTTCTGATCTTCTGTCTGTTGCTCTCCTACCGACAGTGTGAACCTTCAAGCGCTGTTCTCAAATGGATAATTTTGTTTAGGTCTACAGATGTGGTTATTTGCAAGAATAAAACATGTTGTTCACTCTGTCGCGTACATGTTAGCAAGGTTACATATTTTAAATGACGCTGTGTGTGAAGAAAAAGGAAATGCACTCGGGACTCCCCAACGCCCTTTAGTGGCATCATTAGTGACGGCGGGTGCTGGCAGTGCTCTTTAAAGCGTCTTTATAGTGAAAGCAGGAAGATTGCATTTTACCACATGGCTATATTTAGAGTGAGCTAACAGTCCCACCACCACTGGAGCCATTTTTGGCTAACCTCTGGAAGCTATTTTGGTGACTTGTCTTTTTCTACACCAATTAATTTGGAGTGTGACTTACTGGCATGACATGAAACAGCTTACAGTGCAGTAACCAATTCAGGGAAACACTGAACAGCATAATTGCACTTTATCAAAAGGGATGATGCTGTAAATACATATAGTAAAGCTCAAACCAGACTACTTTTTCCATTTTATTATTATTTTATTCTAAGATTTGTACACTATCTTCCACATTTTTACCTTTAAATCTTTTCATCTCATTATTGGGTAAATTGAGTTATTATTATTATAACTGTGTCTCATTTCTAGAAACAGTTGAGGATGAAATGTCAACACACAAACGGGAGCAGGCTGTGAGGAGTTAAGCAGCTGTGGGCAGATAAAGGTCCGACCATGATTTCAGACTCTCTGTTGAGTTGGTGTTAAAGGGTTAAAAAAAGCTCTTTTGAGACACGGAGAGGAAACTGAGCAGAAACAACCCTTCTTTAGGAAAGGTGTGCTTTCTCATTAGCTCCACCACATCTAAGCGGTTACTCGTTGCTTGTGCATACTGAACTAAAATGAAGTTAATTGCTACCAATTGTGAAGGGAGCTGCACGCCTACTTCTTATTTGAGGCCAGCCATTTTAAAAAATATGAACAACTGGACTAGAAAAGACATTCAAGTCAACCCGACATGGCTGTTTCAGGGAACCTTTGTTACTCACTTGTCTCTTCACAGAGTTAAAGAAATGTAGTATTAGTATTAAAGCTCAAATAATCAGGCCCCATTTTATCTTAATGACCTTATAGTACCATATCACCCTATTAGAGCACTTCGCTCTCACACTGCAGGCCTACTTGTTGTTCCTAGAGAATTTAAAAGTAGAATGGGAGGGAGAGCCTTCAGTTTTCAGGCCCCTCTTCTGTGGAACCAGCTTCCAGTTTGTATTCAGGAGACAGACACTATCTCTACTTTCAAGATTAGGCTTCAAACTTTCCTTTTTGCTGAAGCATTAGGGCTGGACCAGGTGACCCTGAATCCTCCCTTAGTTATGCTGCAATACGTGTAGGCTGCTGGGGGATTCCAATGATACACTGTGTGTTTTTTCTTCTCTCACTATGTGTTAATAGACGTCTATGCACTGAATCATACTGTTATTAATCTCTAGCTCTCTTCCACAGCATGTCTTTTATCCTGTTTTCCTTCTCTCACAGCAACTGGTCGCGGCAGATGGCTGCCACTCCCAGAGCCTGGTTCTGCTGGAATTTTCTTCCTGTTTAAAGGGAGTTTTTCCTTCCCACTGTTGCCAAAGTGCTTGCTCATAGGGGGTCATATGATTGTTGAGTTTTTCTCTGTACGTATTTTTGTAGGGTCTACCTTACAATATAAAGTGTCTTGTGTGTTGTTGTGATTTGGCGCTGTATAAATAAAACTGAATTGAATTGAAAGCTGAACCAGGCATTAATTAAAGACTTGTTGCAGTGGATGTGACTAAGGCTGAGGAGCTGTTCTGGGGGAACTCTGCCTTTTGCTCTGACCACCTCACATGACCCTGATGTGGATAAGTGGTTGAGTGTACACATGTATGCTCAGTAGGACGGGTGCTGCAGAGTCTGACTCTCTTAAGGAGAAATATGGAAATGAACTGAGAAATGTAGAGAAAATTTCTAGCCTCACCAACCATTCAAGTCTCTGAATGGTTGGTGAATGGTTGCTCCATGTCACCACTTTATCTGCTTCAGACTCAGCAGTGAAGCTAATGTGCTACTGTGCATGTCTTTGGTCTGAGGCAGAATAAGGGGAAAATCACTGAAAATTCAGAAAATCACTGCCTTGACAAAACAGTGAAAGTTAATCTTATTCGTGGACTGAAGCTGCTGCAGAAGCCTCCCACCCACGGCCCTGCTAAAGCTGCATGCACAGAACTTTGTTTATCCTTTGGACAGATTATAGACAACTTCTTTTCTCGGTTTTGTTTTGTCATCACATTTACGGCAATAAACTTTATCGCAACACTCCAATGTTTCATTACAGAGGAAACAAAGCCATAAAATGTTTAATTTTGTTCTCTCGCAGACTCACCTTGGGGTGTTGATCCAGACGATGCCAATGTGACAGAAAAAAATGCACTCTTTGTCTTTCTGGTTCTCGCAGGAGCAGCGTTTCTCTCGCCGGTGAGCCATATGGGGGAGCTGCACTGGGGGGCCATCCTCCAGCACAGAGCTCGAAACAGAGAGGGCTGGAACACACAGGCAGGGCAGGGTTATCGGCTATTAATGATCATCTACTCAAGTATGCAGCGATTCTGCTGCTTTGTCATGAGTGGATGAATGAGAGATTAACTTGAGATTTGAGTTCAGAATTCAAATTTTTACTGCCAATTCTGTTTAGATCAATATTAATGAAGAAGCCATGTGAAGCAGTTCTCATCTAAAGCTGGTGTTGAGGAGAGAAGCAATCATATTTTATCCACATGTCAGTCTCTTTGTCTCTTTTCTTTACATTTTTGCTGATGATGATCTGTTGTACCTCGAGGTGGAAACATACATTAAAAACTGCTTACACAGCACGTGAATTCCTACAGGTATGTACGTGTTTCAAATGCAAAGAGACGTGAAGCATCAACAGGAAGAGTGGGAATACTGTGGGATCCTTACACTGTGAGCTTGCATGTGCAATTGCCACTGATAATTTGCAAATGCCTAAAAACAATAGACTGTATATAAATTCTGTAGTCATTTTAACAGGACCCATTGGGCAGGTCCAGTGCAAAAAAGCATACGCCCCCTAGTCTGAAATACGAGCATGTATTAAATAAGCATGGCCACTGGGACACGTCAGGAAAGTGTTTACTGGGGCCGTGTATCAACTGAGCAGTAGGGTCAGTTTCTCATAGACCTAAAGAAAAAATGGACATTGCATCCAACTTTCATTCCTATATACTTCCAGTTATTATATCCAGAAACTATAACGCCAGGGTTTGCTCACATCACCAGCCCTGGGGCAGATTGGAAAACTGGTAAAACATGAGACTGAAAATATTGGTTTTAAGATCTAGACTGGGTACAGATATTAATGTTTAAATTTGTATGGTGGTTTATTATTCATTTTATTTTCATTTGCTGCTAATAAGAAATGTCAACATAAATCAACAGGATACAAACGATGGATGGTGAAGACGGTAAACATTAAGAAAGTTCAGATACCCACCATGAGCAGCTTCAAGAGCGGCTTGCATGGTGGTAGAGCCGACTGCAGGATTATAAGTTAATGCATCAACAAAGAGATCCAGCCTGTTGGGGCCATGAATGCCTTTTAGAAATTTCATGGCAATCAATCCAGTACCTGTAGAAATAGCTACTCTTAACCTAACTAGTTCATTCACTCACAGGTTTTCCTTGGGTGCACAACAAAGGAAAGTCTGTGTGCAGCTTTTACTTTGTTAAAGTCGGAAATTACTTTATTCAATTTTATAGCCTCAAGGTCTTCATCAACACCCCAGAAAAGCACATTCACAGCTACAGTCACATGACACCATGCCCTCCAACGGGCCTGGTGTGTTTCCGATAAGAGAGCCAGAGCCGTCATTGCCTTTGTTTTTGTCACCGGAACGTCAGAACAACTCCCTGTTCCTTCCCACTTAACTTAACACAACTCCCTTAGCATGAATGACATGTAATATTGTACCTGAACATAGACTTACAAACACAAAGACACATGTTTAAAAGCACACGTACACACAGAGAGCCCATAAAACAGGCAGAACCCACAGACGGCCTTTGATCTTGTTCTCGATGCGCATGAGAGAACGTTTAGGCGTCCAAGAGGGATTTACACGATTTACACGTGGGAGCAAAATAACACCTTTTCTCACAATAAACTTAGGTGTAGCTTTGTTCTTCACCCGGCTGTGTCCCAGAGAATCACATTAGGTTTTTATTCATGCACATTTTCCAAAGAAAGTTCATAAAGGCTCACATTTCAACTAACCCCAGCCATCATCAGCAGGATGAGCATTCTCAGACACACCAGTCAGTGGAGGCCCTTTTACTATAATAAGCATCCCAGTAAAACACTTCTCGAGCAACATTTTCAAAATACTTTTGGGGGATGCTGAGATTTATAATCTCTCCAGGATTTTCTGGGACTACCCGGAGGTAAACCAGCACGGAAAACCTCCAATAAAAGGCAACATTAAATGGCTCTTTTTAAGTGGCAGATTCCAGATGCCAAAACTTCTTGCTCTGTATCTGAGACTGAGCCTAGCCCGCCTACGCTCAAATCTAATTTTGCGTCACATTTTTAACACATATGCATGCACTTTGCACTGATACAGAGCATTTTGTATATTCGGAGCAGCAGGGTGCTGTCATGGAGGAGTGAGGAGGTTTTATTTAGGCAAGTACAGACCGGGAACCACACAAAGCTACCTGCTGCTGTTTGCAACGTCATGTCGAAGTTATGTGTGTGTTTTTGCACACCTGAATGCTTCAGTGCCAGACGGACACATCTGTCAGCACAGCAGCTTTCTGCCAGACATCATTACGATATCAGACACAACACGATGAAGAGGATAATGGATCTCCTGTTCTGCTTTACTTCAGAGTGCTCGGATCTTATTTTTAACCCACGGTCTTTGTGGTAATGCTAAAGTATATTCTGAAAAGGATCTGTGATGACTTTCTTTAAGAGGAAACCTTCGGACTGATTGAAACACTGAATGTGAATAAAATGCCTTGACAAGAAAACTCTACAAAATGTAAAATGATTTTAATCCCAGCTTAGCTTCAACTTCCTAATAGCACTTCAGGCTTGATCCAGACTTCCTGACCTCACAGTGGGGTCGACACCACAGATGTTTCACATCACCTTACTGGTTGGTAGAAACTGAGCTGAGGCGTGATCAGCGGAGTTTCAGTCAAAGCAAGAATGTCAAATAAAAAACTGAATCTTTGTTTAAAGATAAAAACAACTGTTAATCTGACAGAAGAAAAATGACCTGTAAAGTGTCCTTCCTCTTTATGTAACTGAAGCTGGTGCAAGTACACCAGGAATTATATTTATTATTAGTTATTAGTCAAGGTAAAATAAAAAATCAGTTCTGCTTCGGTTAAAAGTTTTTGGGAAACTTCACGTCTCAGTGCTTCTGTATCTGGAGTTTTGCAGCAGGAAGGCACATTAAACAAACACATTTTCCAAACTGGTTTGCACAGTTACTTCTCGGGCAGCCAAGTCCAACTCACCTGAACTGAGGGACTTTCTCGATACTGAGGTTTGAATCCATTTGGCATGGAGATTTCACACTTTTTATCCATGGTCCTCACATTTCCTCCTAAAAACACACATGCTTGAGTGTGACCTTTACGTACTGTACATAGACGAGGTTAGACAAGCAGCTTAGAGGTTTCAATCCTGGCCTGCATGAGGAAACAGTCAAATAATGCTGCCTCTCAGATGACTTCAAAGATTTGTCAGGTTAAATCTCTGTCATCAAAACTAAATTCCTCAATAAAGACTTTCAACTGCTTGAAAGGCCACTCATTTGCATTGAAAGCTAAAAAGATAATATGACACTAACCAGTTTCACATTTTGTGATATTGAATTATCATGTTCCTATTTAGTCATTATTATTCATCTTTTCCGAGGCTGTGCCAGAGGATGACTGAGTGAGTGTTGCTTCCAAAATGTCACTTTAGAGCACTGATGTCGAGTCCAAAGGCCAGAAATATGCCAGAAAAAAACCAAACTGGCATCAATGTCGACCTTGCCTCTCTCAGTTTGAACACGCGGCACCCAGCTGTGCGGTGGCTCGAGTTTCTCCATCATTGCTTTTATATTCTTTAACAGAATATATAATACACATGTTTTATGTGTATGTACAGCATCAAAGATTGATGTACAGATGCAACCAGCCTCGCTGGTTTGCATCTTTTGAACAGGGAGATGTCTCCATCGCTCATTTGTCCTGTAAACCTCTGATTAAGTTAAGACTTCTGACTGAAGACGAAAAAAGCAGCTTGTTGTAATTACTGCAAAATCGGAGACATGGACACTGATTGAGCGGTCTGCAGAAAGGATAGAATAATACTAATAATGACAGAGTGCAGCGTGCAGATGTTTGCAGCACTGAGCGTATCGCGAATCCTCAAGTTTGTCGGGGGAAAAAAAAGTGAACTTTTCAGTGCCACCACCTGTCGGTGCCTTTCGCTTCATCCTCACTAACGTTTTGATTTCAGGGCTGAGATCTGTCAAGAAGAAAATTGAAATATCATTTATCATTTTTATTTTATCATCGCAGCCTTCTTTGAACTTATCACCTTATTTAATTAAATACTCCTTTTTGTATGACAAAAGCCAAGATTTTATGACTATATCATAAAGACAAAATGACCTCTGCTGAATGACGTAAGGACAACCTCCTGGGGCAATTTTAGGCCACCTAAGGGTTATAGTTAGGGGTCTGATATTGACTGATGGTGGACACTCAATGGGTCACTCACACTCACACTGGGTTGGTGCACAGTCCCAAAGACGTTTGTGTTAATTACAATGCTCAGAAACCTGCAGAGACAGAGGAAATACAGGGACCGCTAAGTCTGCTTAGGCTGAGCATCTTTAGTTGATTCCAGATGTTTTTCAAACCTTCAAGTTTCAGGCTTTGTTTGTCTTGGGCAGAAGCCAATGAGAGCTAAGCATCTAACTGTGCCAGAAATAAACGAACAAAATCTGGGTGGGCATCAGAGCTTCTCGTGTTAATTCAATCACGAGCAGAAAATATCTAAGAGGAACGCGTCATAGAGAATAAAAGTAAAATGAAAAGACAATTTAATTCACGAGCTGGGTAAGAAGTCACATCATGTATCACAAATGTCACGCAACACCACTTTGAGTTTATTCTTCCTGCAGAGCTCACTGTGTGGAACAAGGTGCCAAAATGTTCAGTCAGCACCTTGGGTTCGGTTCTTGTCTGGTTAGTGTCATTTCCAGAACCTGAGTTGCAAACTGATGCTGTCTGCCACTAAAACATCATAATGTGAGCTTTGAGAATCTTAATATCAGTCTTAGTAAACATTTGAATCCATAATTCAGATCCATCAGTCGTTTGCATATCAGGGAACATTTCAAAGCAGCTGTGACAGATAAAAGTAACACAAATACAATACAAAAGAGACCATGAACGTGATGCTCTTAATGAATGCCAGAACAATACTACTACTACTACTACTACTAATAATAAT